AGGATGCTACAAAAATGAGAAACTCATAACTGGAAAGGAGATAACTGCCATGAATTACAAAAAGAACAAACACAAAATTGTGAAAGAAGACATCTAAATCATTAAGAGTGGGAGAGGGAAGCAAGGAAAGCCACTGTGGAAAACAGTATAGAGATTCCTCCAAAGACTAGGAATACACTTACCATATGACCCAGAAATCCCACTCCTGGGCATATATCCAGAAGGAACCCTACTTCAAAATGACACCTACACCCCAATGTTCCTAGCAGCACTATTTACAATAGCCAAGACACGGAAACAGCCTAAATGCCCACCAACAGATGACTGGATAAAGAAGAACTGGTACATTTATACAATGGAATACTATTCAGCCACAAAAAAGACAACATAACGCCATTTGCAGCAACACGGATGTTCCTGGAGAATATCATTCGAAGTGAAGTAAGCCAGAAAGAGAGAAAAATACCATATGAGATTGCTCATATGAGGAATCAAAAAAAACCATAAATACAAATGAGAAACAGACTCACAGACATAGAATACAAACTTGTGGATGCCAAGGGGGCAGGGGGTGGAAAGGGACAGACTGGGATTTTAAAATGTAGAATAGATAAACTAGATTATACTGTATAGCACAGGGAAAGGTATACAAGATCTTGTGGTAGCTCATAGCAGACAAAAAATGTGACAATGAATATATATACGTTCATGTATAACTAAAAAATTGTGCTCTACACTGCAATTTGACACAACATTGTAAAATGACTGCAACTCAATAAAAAATGTTTATTTATTAAAAAAATGGTATTTTTCTCTGTAACTCAACTTTTTCAAAAGGCAGTTTTTACGTGTGAGTGTGTTTCCATGTGACTGTGTTTGAGGTGTTGTGAATTCTGTTCACTATGAGATGGAAACAATCTTCACACATATGTTTGCACTGTGCTTTCTAGGTGCTGCTCCTTTGTGGACAATGAATCTGTTCCCAGAGGGAATTTGGTTTCCCTTTTTTTCTGACTTTAGGAGGTAGGAAGGTACAAAGGCTGAAGGATTTGTAACACACAAGACGACCTGCACATGTCCTCTCCCTGAGCTTGGGAGGTCTCCCGGGTGTCTGCCCTCAGCCCACCAGGGCCGGGATGCCGCGTCCATGCAGTGTGAGCATGTCTGCAGGTGCACACTTTGCTGGAGCCCCTGACGTGTGGGGGTCTGTGGCTGAGCAGCAGGTCTCCCAGGCTGAGCTCGATGGCTTCATCCCTGCCTCGTGGAGCTGAGCTGGGAAGGGTCTGGGCTGCCGTCCTCACCTTTCCCGCTGGTGGCAGGGGCACCAGAGGGACCACGGCTGCACCCCAGATTCTGATAGAGGTTGACAGTGGGTGGCTTTATAGCACAGGGGCAGGCGCTGAGCACTTGAGAGCTGAGGGGATGAAGGGCGTGCCCTGGAGATTGCTTGGATTAGGTGAGGGGGGATGAAAGTCCCACCCAGCAGGTGCAGAAGTGACACAGGTGAACAACGAGGTCCAGGAGGGCGGGGCCCCGGGAGGAAGGAATCAGATGCAGACTGTGTGACAGGATCAGGGGAGATGGAATCCAGGGAAGGAATCCCTAGAAAGGAATTCAGGGAAGATGTCCTTGGTTGTCAGGTCAAAGCTCCTGTTGATAAGCTGGCCTGGAGTCTGGCTGTGTCCTGTGCAAATAGAGGGGAGGAGGCCTCTCC